TTACAAAAAATAGATGATAGATAGATAGATAGATAGATATAGGTAGATAGATAGATAGATAGATAGATAGATAGATAGATAGGTATAAAAGTTTGGGAAACATTAACTTAAAGTTGTAAAAGACTTCTGTACTGGAATATAATCAGCTTTGTTTTGGAATTTGTTTTTTTTAATTCCAGACAGGGTCTCTATGTGGCCCAGGCTTGCCTGATACCCCTGTGCTCAAGAGACCTTCCTGCCTCTTGATAACTGGTACTGTAGGCAGTAACCCCTACACCTGGCTTCCCTCAGACTTTTAAGTATGCTTAAGTGTATTGTGAATTTCCAAGATGAGATGATGATATGTTTCCCAAGCCTATTTTACCTTGGAATCATTTTGAGAACCTCTGATCTCTACCCTAGAGCTTTAGTATTCTGGAAGATATAGATTATTATTATTTAATAATTTTCTACAAATGCAAACCTTATGTAATAATAGTTTGGCCTAATAGATCATTAAACAGAGAAAACAGAAGATGAAAGAAAAATAATTTTCAAAAAAAATCTTTAATGTTAATAAAGAGCATGTTTCATTGACTTTAATGACACATGACCTTTATTGAGAATAGTTTCTTTGAATTTTGCAAGGGTCTTAGCTTTGACCCTACATTTCATTTCTTATAAGTAACACTTCAAATTTCGGATGCTCAATTGAAGTATGCCCGTTCCAACACTACGTGATTGTTAATGTCATCATTGTTTTAGGCAGTGAGTCAGTAGAACATGCTTGTTATCTATGTATGATTTCAAATTGGGATGAATGCCGAATCATTATTTAATGTAAGTAACGTTTTTCTTTCTCCCCTATTTAGTTCTTAAACACTTCCAGTAACCATGAAAACCTAGACTTGGAAATGCCTTCCTTAACTTCCACTCCTCTCAATGGTCACAAATTGACTGTTACAACACCATTTCATAGAGACCAGACTGTGAAAACCCAAAAGGAAAATTCTATGTAAGTCCTTCTTCAAGAAGAAAAATATTTATCTTATTTGTTCATATTAATGAAAATATAGTCCCCAAGTGTCTGTATGTATGCAATGTCTCTTTGTATGTATGAATTTTACTAATTCACTATTATGTGTCCATTCCCACAGTGAATATGCCCTGCACATGTTACAACTAACTAGAGTGCAAAGTGGGGGAAATGAACTAAATTATATCTTATAGTTCTCTCTAAAATCTCCTATGTGTATAGAGGTCGGGTTCATCAATGTTTCCACTCAGTTTGTTCATTCAGTAAGGCTTCTTATTCTCACTGAAATGATTTTTCAATGGCAGGGCCTGTGGCCTGCAGCACCCAACTTATATATATATATTGGGGGGGTCTTTTTGAGACAGGATTTCTCTGTAACCCCACCTGTCCTGGAACTCATTATGTAGACCAGGCTGGTCTTGAACTCACAGGGATCCACCTGCCTCTGCCTCCGGAGTGCTGGAATTAAAGGCGTGCGCCATCACGCCCGGCACAGTTTATATTTTTTAATCTTATTTTTTTCATAACATAAATAGATTGGAACCTCGTTGGTCATTCACAGGAAGATAGACAGATGATTTGAAGCCAAGGAATGATTAAGTCATTTTAATTTGATGAAGACTTTACCTTTCTAAAGAAATGGCTGAGAAAAGTAATATAAATTATTTTTTAAAACCCTTGAAAGAAGTATTCTCATTATTTCCAAGTACAAAACAACTATTAGAGCATTAAATATGTCTTCTAGTTTGGAGCTATTTTAGAGAGTAGGTAAGATTGATTTGTAAATAATATGAGATATCATGAGATATCACGATGCTTCTGGCCATTACACGGATCTAGTGGCATTACCTGTGTCTTCAGAACCATTTGGGTAAGATGATGAATTAATATACCCTCTTCCATAGTGTTAGTAGCCTTTAGTATACATACTGGAAAATTATGAAACTTGACAGAGCAGTGTAAGGATGCATGTCATTTATATTCAATCTTTGCTTCTTCGCTTTTTAAAGCTTTAGAACTCCAGCTATCAAAAGGTCAATCCTAGAAAGCTCTCCAAGAACTCCTACACCGTTCAAGCATGCACTTGCAGCTCAAGAAATTAAATATGGTCCCCTGAAGATGCTAGTAAGTTCTAGAAAAGTCCTTAGATTTAGTGGGCTTATTAGTATAGACAAGAAGTTTCCTCTGATCCAGAAATATCCATTCTTCCCCAGCCTCAGACACCCTCTCATTTAGTGGAAGACTTACAGGATGTGATCAAACAGGAATCTGATGAATCCGGAATTGTTGCTGAGTTTCAAGAGAATGGACAGCCCTTGCTCAAGAAAATCAAACAGGAGGTAAGCTATGGACTCTGTCACCCTGGTTCCTTTGCATAGTTCCAGGTGCTTGGCATCAATGCTGAATAACAGCACCACTTTTTGTGTAAAATTTTCATGCACAAGGGTCAAAAGGTGCTGTCAGACTGGATCCTGACCTTTCATTTGGAAAATCACTTCCATCAACTTCTTGTTTAGACAGAAAAGATGCTAGAGGGGGTAAAGGAAAGGTGTGCAGCAGGTTTTGTATTATACTAGAAAAAAAACCACTGATAATAGAGGATGGGTAGACAGATGATTGGTAGGTGATAGAAGATAGATAGATAGATGATAGATAGATAGATAGATAGATAGATAGATAGATAGATAGATAGATAGATAGATGACAGATAATTATATTCCTGTTGTCTTTTCTAAGGACTAAGGAATAGCTTATCCTGAACCACATAGAATGACTATGACCAAGGAATATAGATTTAAGTTACCCTGAATGACATGTCCCCTCATTTCCTGATACCTTAGAGGACAGCAGTTTACATTAACATAGTAGTATCTTTAGAGTGTAAGAGAACAAAACTAACTGGCAAGAATCAAAGTGTTTGCATACTGGCAAGAGGCATTTCCAACAGTTTGAACTAATATTCATGGAAAGCTTAGTATTATGGTGATTGTCCAGAAATTTACACCTGGGAGTAAATGTTTCATGGAAGTTGAAGTTATTTAATAAGCACTTTCTGTTTGCTTTTAGGTTGAGTCTCCAACTGATAAAGTGGGAAACTTCTTCTGCTCAAACCACTGGGAAGGGGACAGTCTGAGCACCCAGCTGTTCCCTCAGGCGTCTCCTGTGGCAGATGCCCCGGTAAGTATGAGGGTTTGGACACAGGCTTCTCTGTGATCTTCGCACCTCATAAAGTCCTGTGTGTGGCATGGGGGAACCACAGTGTCCTCAGTACCCACTCTTTAATGCATCTGATTTCTAAATATTCACTCTTGCATGATTTTTTTCAAAGTGATTATTAATGTAGGATATAGAATTGAGATTTTGGCTTAGGTATTGGAAACAGATTCTCTTCCATTGTAGGTTTTTTGTATCATTTTCTTATGATTTAAGAACCCATGACACTTAATAAAAAGTTGCTATATGGCTAGTTCCATGAAGACAGAGTGCAAACTTTTACATTCACCTTTGTCTTCTAAATGTTCTATTTCCTTCTAGTTAAGCTGTCACTTATTTGACTTTATGTAGTTTCTAGCATGGTGCCAGTCATGGTGTACAGTGGAAAACTGGCCCTGTACTGGTCTGGTGGGTCATTCCATATCCACAGAAGAATGGTTCCAGGACCCGCCCCCCCATACCAGATGCTCGTGTTCCTTACAAAAAAATGACATAGTATCTGTACATAACCTCTGCAACTCTCCCATGTACCTGAAATTATTTTGAGATTAATTTATAGTACCTACCACAGTGTAGGTACTGTGTAAGTAGTTATTGCACCATGTTATTTAAGGAATAATGATAAGAAAATGTCTGCACATTTTTAGAACCCATGCCTCTTTTCTGTCCCGGTATTTTTGATTGGTGAATCCATGGTCACAGAGGAGTAGCTCTGCCACCTGGCTTTGGTTATCACCATGTTTACAGTTTGTAACTTGTGGTCACTTCCCTTATATCTAATGGAGAATCAGAGCCAGTGATAATTGCTAATATTTATTCTATAGTAACTGGTAAGTACTAATCTCTACTGACTTTAGATGAATTAATCCATGTAATCCTCATAATAATGCTGGTAACATTTTCACTTTCATTATAGCCACTTGGACAGTGAATATTTATTTGCTCAATATTATATACTTAACTGGTAGTGCTGGGTTAGAACTTTGAAAGTATGTCTATAAATGCCGTACTTTCACCATTGTACTACACTGCCATTAATTTGTAATTATCAAATATTTCTGTGCCACTATTTAACATACAGAGTCCTCATTAGCCCAGCTCTTATTTTTAGATGCGTGGATTAATGAATTCATTTAGCGGATCAATTTTGAGTGCCTTCCAAAGGCTGAGAATCAAGTGAGACCCTAAAGCATTTTCATTGTTGTGATGCTGTTTGCAACAATGGATGGGGTCAGTACGGAGCTGAGCTCTCCTTTCAGCTCATAGAGAAGGGATTTCTGGCAGATCCTTGCATTTTTTCATGCTAATGTGTGTCATCTTATAGTAATCCACTCTCTGCCACCGAGTTAGGATTGTGTTGGCTCTCATACTATCCAACCTCATTTCAATTTCAAATGATTTCTTCCCTTTAGAATATTCTCACAAGCTCTGTTTTAATGACACCCGTCTCAGAAGACGAAGACAATGCTCTCAAAGCATTTACAGTACCTAAAAACAGGCCCCTGGTGAGTCCCTTGCAGGTAATTACTATTCCAGCATTGTCCTCCAATTTGTTTGCTGAAAATCTGTTGTTATGTTATTGTTTTAATGCTTTAGCTATAAAGGAAGGATGCCTTAAAACAACTTCTTAATGTTTAAACATCATTTTTTGTTATTACTCATGTGAGGCACACTGGAAATTTTTGTGCTGTCAGGGCCCCCAAGCATGATGAAGTGAAACATTTTTTTTTTTTACTATAACAGAGACTAAGATCATGTGGATCACGTAGTACCCTTGTGCCAGTATCTCCTTCTGCTTTTAAACATCTTAAAAATGTTTAAACTATCTATGTAGTTTATTTTTTGTTTCAAAGTTTTTATTCTGTATGCTCTATAACTAAACAACCAGGCGCTCAGAGACTGGATTTCAAATGAAATATGAAATTAGTTTTGACTATGAAAATAAAAAAGGCAACTGTCCATGCTGCATGGATAATCTGTGGTGGACCATCTGCTGTCAGGTTTTATATCAAAGAAGATTTCCCTTGTAACTCTGAAGTAGGTGTGTGTTGATGAAATATAACAAATTCCATATTAATCCTGAGCCAAATGTAAATAAGAATGCAAATTTGCTCCCCCAAATTATTTAAAGCAGTTTCCAACATGAAATGGCCTGCACCCAGCCAGCTGCAACTCCTGCCCCTCTGTTCCCCTATTGCTACTCAGAGGGAAACTCACAAACCCTGAGCAGGTGGAGAACCTGATTAGAAGCAGGAAGTCATATTCGATGCTGTAAGTTCAGAGGCACTGTAGTAGGATGGTAGACTTTGAGAGCTGGCCTGTTCCTGTACGGGGCCTTCCCACCATCTTGATATGCCTGCTCACTCCAAGTTATGAGAAAGCTTCCCATTATTGAGTATTTGTGATACTTGTTATCATTTTAAAGTAATACAGACAACAACTGAAAGATGTGTAGGCACCGTTGTCTATTAATTCCATTGGCCCGCTTCCCTGTGGCTTTCTTTAGACACCAGCTGGTGAAAGGTGTCTGTGGCAGGCCATTGGGAGAGGGAAGGTCAGTGTTTGTGGAAAGTCAGCAGTTCTTGAGGCAGTCAGACTTGGGTTGGATCCTTGTAGAGAAACACAGATTATTACAGTCTTGGGAAGTGAGGACAAGAGTAAACTCCATGAGGCTTAGAGGTACACAGAAAAGGGATTAAAAGAGTGTCCCACAGCGGGAAGCCATTTTACCTAGAGCTGACCCTGGGCCAGAGGAAAACCCTTGCTTGTTCTTCTTTGGCCTTTGGTTTACAAAGCATAGAATTTGACTAATGCTATTAATACTTGAAACTGAATTAAGTCTTATAACCTGTCAGAGATTCAACCTGTGCTTACTGTAGTACAGAAAGGTACATTCTGAACTTCAGAGCAAATGTGTGAGTATATGTAGTGACAATAATCATTTCATAAATTGAAAATCCATGATTATCTCCTAAAGTAGTTTGGTTAGGCCAAAGTATTCAGAGCCAAACATGGGGCAGATATAAAACAGATATAAAAGTTAACAATATCACCAATGTTAAAAAATAGGTGTCGGCTGGGCGTGGTGGTGCACGCCTTTAGTCCCAGCATTCAGGAGGCAGAGGCAGGCGGATTGCTGTGAGTTCAAGGCCAGCCTGGTCTACATAGTGAGTTCCAGGACAGCTGGGGCTACAGGGAGACCCTGTCTCAAAAAGAATCCCCCCCCCCAAAAAAATAGGTGTCTTACTTTTACCACAGCACGCACGTGTGTGTGTGTGTGTGTGTGTGTGTGTGTGTGTGTGTGTGTTTGCTCATGTGTGTGGATGCAAGACAGCATGCATGCCATAGGATGCTTGTGAAGGTCAGACAACCTTCAGCTGTCATTCCTGGCCTTTCCTCCTTGTTCGGGACAGGGTCTCTGCGCTGTGAAAGCCAGGCAGCCTGGCTGGCCATGAGCCTTTGGAGGTTCTGCTCACTCTGCCTCTCGTCTCCTCTCCCACAGGGACTTCCATATGCTTCTGCTACTGTGTCTGGCTCTTACACAGGGATCCATACTCAGGCTTGTGCAGTGTTTTTGCTCACCGAGCCACCTCTCCAGCCCCCACCACAGAATTTTTCATGCTATTACCATTTTAAAAAGTAGTATGGAACTATCAATATATTTATATTTTTATTTTTAATGGAAATGACATAATATGTAGATGTTCCAGTCTAAAATTTTTTCGTGTATAATGTTACATCATTAACAATCATTCCCTAATATTCTGATTACCAAGGCATATTTATGTTTTCCCATTAATCCAAAATAATTTGACTATTATTTGTTTGATGATTAGAACCGAAATAGTTTTACTCACTGCATTTGATTTTTAAGTCAGCTAGATCTCTTTGGACAGCACTAGTCAAAGGACTGGCTATGTGATGGTACCATCCACTGGACTGCTAGCTATATTGTAGCCACTGGTCATGTGTGGCACTTGGGCACCTGTATTGTGGCTTGTTGCTGCTGGGAATGCATGTTCAGTGGTATTTTAGGTTTAAGTGGCATTAGTTTAATAGCCCTGTGTCTTACTGTCTTTTTGGAATCAGCTATTTCCCCAGTGTGTCCTGAGTTCTGTTGGTGGGCATGGCATGCAAAGGTGAAAATCCTGTGTTAAGTGTGCCTTTTATTATGTGCGTTGTCACTGAGACAGTGAATTTTAAATGATTCAGAACTTCCACAGATCCCCTAATCTATACATAGATTAAATTTATTTAAGTTAACAGAGGCATAAAAGCTTTTATAAGCCACTGTACACGATCATTGGTTTGCTTCTTAAATTATTGTTATTTAATCATTTTCCAGAAAAATATTTGCTGAACCTGCATAAGTGTAATTATTGGGTTTCTCTTTTAAATTTTTTTCCTTAATTTTAAACTATATGAGCAAATGAAGTATTGTTATAGAATGGTTGAGACTTTTTTGGTATCCATGCCTTCCACATGGCTCAGTATATGCGAGATTTCCTCGTTTCATCTTTATCAGCACTCAGACTGACATGGGTATGGGTTGGAGTCTAGATTGGCACATGTGACCCCAAATGAAGAAGCAAGAATATTCATCTTAGAAAGCTTGCAGTTTGGAGTGGGAAAGACGTACACTGTGGAACGCTACAGGATTCTGCCATTCAGTTTACACTGACAGAACTGAGGTAGACTCCCAGAGAAGCCACCTCAGTGGGGCAGAAGACATGCCTGCTTTCCTCAGCATGCTTTCGGGTTCCTTTGCGTGCTGAAGTAGATAGTGTCAACAGACATTTCCCAAGGTAGACATAGGTAGATCCAAAACTGTATTCCTGTTATCAGCCTTCTGGGCTTCTGTATTTTACTTTTAAATTAGAATTTCCTTTTATTCCTATTTCGAACTCAAATGTGAAAGCTGTGTTTATATGCTTTTTTTCTCACTCACTTTCCTCTTTTTTGTAACCACAGAATGACAGCCTTAAATTTTAATTTCCTGGCTTGGTTTGTCAGGGCCTTACTTTTCTTTTTTTTAAAAAAGTTTAAATTTCTCAAGTCACTGTTACTTAAACATGTTCTCAAGAGATCAAAGAATTTTACAATATGTTACTAGCCATTGAAACTTACTTTTCTCTGGGCTTTTTGGTTCTGTGTGTTTTGGCTAGTGCCTATCTTTATATGACTCATTTTTATGAAGTTTTACACTTTTCAAACAATAAGGCAAACCCTTTTTTCATGACAGGCATGATTGTGAAGTATAATAAATTCTTATACAGATAGCAGAGCCTGGGTTCTGGTGTGGATCCCACCATTTCCTAAATTCATTAAATAAAGTAAATTAAAGTAATAAATTGCTCTTGTCTATAAATTGAGGAACCATGATATCCTCCACTGATCTCATAGAGTTGCCATGACAATCCAACCGATATGATATTGCTTTCAAGAAGACAGCACAGGACCCAGTGTGTACCCATGGTATTTTTTAATAGACAGAAACTGTACATTATCTCTGTCCTTTAAAGGGGGATGTAGCTCAGTTGGTAGAGTGCTTGCCTAGGATGCACAAAGCCCTGGGTTTGATCTTCAGCACCATGTAAGCTGGACATGGTGGTGCAGGTCTGAAATCTCAGTACTCAAAATGGAGACTGGAGAAGCAGGAATTCAAGGGCATCTGTGGCTATGCAGTTTCAAGAAAGTCTTAGTTACATGAGATCCTCTCTTTTTAAAAAATCATAAATGAATTCACAGGGAGGTACAGAGGTGCCACTGTTGCCAGATCCTCTGGCATACTATTCCTAGTTCCACTTTTGCAGAACTATGCCTGTGGGTGGCCAAAAGAAATAGCTGATCGACCAGTTCTGAAATCAAGGTAGTCAGACCTCTTGGTACTATGAAGATGAAATAACTGATGGACTGATTCTCTTTTCTTTCCTGCTGTTGTGTGGATCTGTAGGATGACAGACATGGAAACAGTGTATATGTGGTAGAAATCTTTCTGAGCATCCGTTTATCTGGTGTGCTGTTGACCTGCCCCCCTGTGATGTCTCCACATACATTGGGTTCTCCCTTTGGTCACTTTTTTCACTTACCTCAGCAGAAATTCATGTGGCTGTCAGAAGTATTTCAGTGACCTGCTTTCAATAGATAATATAAATGAAGTAAGTTTCTGTGTGCAGCTTTGGAGTTGAATAAGGGAGGCTAAGTGAACTGGAGATCCCAGGTGCTCTGAGTCAGGCTGCCCTGCCCCAGACCTTGCAAGAGATGGACTTTTGTTTCGTGTGTTTTGTTTGGTGACATTTAAAATAAACACTGAGATAGAATCTTCCTTGAAGAGGCCAGGAGAGATAAATTGCTTCAGAGAAATTTGGTAATTGCCTGAATGTTAATCTGGAACTAATATGTGGCCAAGAAAAGAGCTATTCTTCCAGAAGCTTGAGGTACCCCAAGCTAGGGAATCTAAGTTATTGAGGAGTCTAAAACATGCAAGAACGAAAACTTTTAGAGATGTCTGCCTCAAAGTCCATGTCTTAGAAATGTCCCTCAATACTAGCAATTGTTCATTTAGCCTGGAAAGTAGAGGTGCTGGTGGGTGGAGAACGTCCTGTCATCATCTGCATTATCTCCTAATCCTTAAGCTTCTTTCTTGGGGAAAACTTAGGAACCCTAAATAGGAAGCGCTGATGTGTGCTGGCATAGGAAAGTTTCTGCTAGTTCAGAAAGTTTGGTGCTTAGCAACATTTGACTTTGATAGAATTAAAATTTTCTTTGTCACATCTTATGACTGGCACTTTAAACAGATGGGAAGAAATTCTGAATTTTCAAATTTTCATCCAGGTAAGATAAGTATTATCTCTGGGCGAATTAAGTAGAATTATCAGAGAATTCTTATTTCTTTTGTCCCCATTCGTCCCGGCTTATGAGTTTAAAGGAAAACAAAATTTAAAACATAATGCCACCTCCTGAGTTGCCTTAGTTTGAAAACACCATTTTTCAAGATTCATCCAGATTTCTCATTAAGCCTTTAAATTCGAAAATAGAATTTGCCAGGCCTTTGACCTCAGCAGTTACATTATGAAGTTGCAATGTGAATATAATAATAATAGCAGCTGTTGTTCAGCTCCGGTCTAGGTGACAGTCCTAAGAAATCCTAATTCTGACAGAAAACCACCTGTGGACGCGCTCTTGTCTCCTTTCATTTCTTCTGTGCTCTGCAAAGGATCTGGGTATTTATTCAAAGTGCTTTAACAGGATATCCCAGTTAAAACCTTGACAGACTGTTTACAGTTCACTTCTGCCCAGGGGCAATGTAAGGCACATTACAGGATAAGTAAGGTGACTTCAGCAGCAGCAGGAGGAGGGTGTTGGGTAGGATTATTAACATTGAAATGAATTAGGACAGGCTGACACGTCTGCAGAGCGCCTTGAGTCAGTGAAAGAACAAGAATCCATGTGTAGAAATCTGTAATGCTTATCAGTTCCTTGTAATAAATGAAACGAAGATTTAGGGAACGGGAACAAGGGGAATGCACAAAGACATAAATGATAGCATTAAAAATGGTCTTCAACACAAAGACGCTTAATCCTCCGTTGTCAGACTATCCTGCCTACTTAAAAGTTGGTAAAGAGCCCCCAGGGTTCAAGATAACAAGAAAAAAGGGAGTTATTTGTGTGTGTGTGTGTGTGTGTGTGTGTGTGTGTGTTTGGGGGACGCACATGTGTATGTGCATGAGGAGGCCAGAGGACACTCTGAGGTGTCATTCTTCAGATGCTGTCCACAACCCCAAGGTCTCTCACTGGCCTGGAATTCACGTGATAAAGTAAACTAGGCTGGCTGCCCAGTGAACCCCAGAGGTCCACCTGTCTCTGCCTTCTTGATGCTGGAGCTACTAGTGCACACTACCATGCCTGGCTTTTTTTAAACATGGCTTCTTAGACTCAAACTCAGGTCCTTCCTCATAGCAAAACAAACATTTCACCCACTGAGCTTTCTCCCCAGCCTGAGGAGTTTTTGTTTTTGTTTTTTGTTTTTCTTCCCCATAGTGTCCAACTACCTGATCTTGCTTTACTTTCACACCTTTGGTATGTGTCTGTTCTCACCGGTTCTTGCATTCACCGTGGGATGTGCCTGCTCTGTGCTCTCCCGGTGCAGAAAGGGAACTACACAGCATGTGCTCACTGGCCTTTTAGTTCCTGCCCACAGTGACTCTTGCACGCGGCAACCAGTGCATGCTGTGTGTGCTCTCCATCTTCGAGACCCAGTCCTCTCACTTGTCCTGGGCTCTGAGCCTTGGGACACAGGTGCTATGGAATTTGGGTATTTCAGTCATTTTGAGCTTTAGCTTGATAAAGTCTGTTTTGCTTTAGAAAGAACTGTATTTGAAAAGTTCCCACAAAATACTACTAAAAATATGTGGTATCTTATTTTTATTTTGATTCCATTTAAATTATGTAATCCAGGAGAGAGAGCAAAAAGGGAACCTAACAAAATCACAATGGTAACCTGAAAATCTAAAGTGGAAGTTTTCCTGAACAGACAAAGGGAGTTTGAGCAGAGGGTCAAAATACAGCCATCACAGAGACATTATCAAAGCAAACAGAATATTAGTTTTGTCATGGTATTTTAAGATACCTAATTTGCATGTTTGGAAATTTATTCTATATTAATTGAAGCCAAGCAGAAAATTCTTAATCAGAGAGAACTAGAAATAATCCTTTTTACTTCTGTTTCCATTTCCCCTTCTTTCCTCTGTCCCCTCCATTTGTTTCAAAATACATACTTGTGTTATTGTGCATTCTGTGTAAACTCTAAATCTACATAGAAGATATTATTACATTAGGTATTGCATGCTGCCTCTACTTGGTCTTCAGGCTCCATGTCCTTGTTCTCTGTGTGTCTAATCACTGCTTCTAAGCACTGCACAATGTTCTTTGTAGTAAAATAACACACCATATTGAGTTGTTATTCCCTCTCAGCTACGAATTATCATGTCATATTTTGCTACTGTGACTATAAGCACTAACTCAATAATTGAAAAGATGATATTAAATTTTATTTTTTAAAATTGATTTCCTGTATCTATTTGTGTTTCTGTGCTGCGATAGAACATTTTAGCTGCAACAAATAAGCAGTCAGTAAAAAAGTATGGGATTTGGATGGGTAAAAG